TGGATGACTCTCTCTCATTGATGTTTCTAACTCTCTCTCTCCCTTCCTCTCTGTAAAAAAATCAATAAAATATATTTTTTTAAAAGAGAAAGTATATGATTTAGAAATATAGAAAAATATCAAAATTATAAAATTTGAAGTCCCACACAGAGGGAAAGAGACAAGTACCAACATGTCACTAGGTTTGTAGTTAGAAACTTCCAGAGCTACAACCTTACAACTGTATTACTTTCAATAATGAAAAACAAATAAGCACAACACCCCAAAACAAATAAGTACCAGTAATAGAATATAAAGTGTCTGGCTCATTGCTTGCCATCTGGTAGGGACTTACTGCAAGTTTTTTCAACTTTATCTAGGAATACAAGATTCTTCCTTTAATTTGTCAAAGGTAAAAGTAGGTTTTAACATCTGCTTTTTATTTTATTTTTTTTTGTAATGACTTAAGAAATGTTATTTAAAACAAAATGCACAATGGGGAGGTTTGAAAGAACATGTAATCAAATTGCAATATATATATGTAATATAAATACTAATATATCTTACATATAAAAAGAAAGAGAAATTAGGTGTTCTGTCATGTGAAATGCGAATTAAATGATTTGGAAACAAATACTCAGCTGTGAAATTTTAAGATACTAGAGGCCTAGTGCATGAAATTTGTGTACTCGGGAGGCCCTCAACTCAGCCTATGCCCTCTCGCAGTCCGGGAGCCCTTGGCGGATGTCTGACTGATGGCTTAGGTGGAGAGTGGGCCGAAGCTGTTAGTCAGATATCCTTAGTGCTGCTTTGGAGGCAGGAGAGTCTCCCACCACCACTGCTGCACTCGCCATCTGTGAGCCCGGCGTCTGTCTGAGCAGTACTCCCACTGTGGGAGTGCACTGAGCACCAGGAAGCTGCTCCTGCATTGTGAGGCTGCCCCCTGGTGGTCAGTGCGCATCATAGCAATTGGTCATTCCACCTTTCAGTCAATTTGCATATTAGCCCCCTATTATATAGGATTATTGTTAATGGAGAACAGGGACAACTTTTACTGTTTCCACCCTCCCTCTCTTCCTAGAATATTAATTTATGATCCCAAAATGGCTTTGGACCATATTTATGAGTGATGGTGGAAGAGGGAAAAACATATTTTAAAAATTTATGCTATTAAGTCAGACACTCCTTTGTCTTCCTCTGATTAATTCTGAGGAAGCCAGGAAAGACGAAGGTAGGTGTGTCTTCAGAAAAATCAATCTTCTAGTTTTTTCACTCTACATTCTGCTTACTCAGAGCTGGATTACTTAATTAACTGCCCCCGGGTCTGCCTCTAGGTATATAATTTTTCTTCTTCCTTTGTTTTTTCTTTACTTTGGACATGCATATTATATCATTTGGTGATGAGATTGTAGAAATTTCACCCTTCCCTTCGGTATTAAATATTTGCAGCCAAATTACCAGAGGGCTTTGCATCAAGAATTATGATAATTATAACATCACAGTAAACCAAGTCAATGTGGATGTCTTGTTTTCCATTGGTCATTTCCCTTGTGCTAAAACCTCACAGTAACATCACAGGGAGAACAGCTGTGGTTTGGGGTGTGTGTTCTCTGTGAAGGTTGAAGGGAGAGGTTCTGTGGAAATTACTGAGCCCCCTGGTACCTTAACACTAGAAATCTGTCCTCATCTCTAAAAACCTGATTCTACTCAGTGGAAGGAATAATGGAAATAGAGCAGAGAGATCCAGGAAGGATTGGAAGTGTGGGGAGGCCAATTGAGGACATGTTAAACCATGAATCACTCTACAAATTATAAATCTCATACTAATTTTAATGAAAGAAAGAATGTAAAAAAAGAGTTTTTAATGATCCATTAATTTATAAGTTTCAGATATAAAATTTAATTAAATGGAGTCCAAGTGGCACATTTTTCTACTTTAGAAAAAAAAAAAACCCTCATGTACTATTGAATGGAATGTAAATTGGTGCAGCCACTATGGAAAAAAAATATGGAGGTTTTTTGAAAAATTAAAAGTAGAACTAACATATGATCCAGAAATTTCATGTTTGGGTATTTATCTCAAGAAATCTATAACACTAATTCAAAAAGATATAACACTAATTCAAAAAAGAAAGTAGCCCTACATTCATTGTAGCATTATTTACAATAGCCAATATATGGAAGCAACCTAAATGACCATTAATAGACAAATGAATAAAAAAGATGTGGTATATGTACAATGGAATATTTATCAGCCATAAAAAACAAACAAACAAAAAGCAAACAAACAAATGAAATCTTACTATTGTATTTGTAACAACATGGATTAACCTGGAGAGTATTATGCTAAGTGAAATAAGTCAGATAATATCAAATAAGTCAGATGCTAAGGAATAAAACAGATTCCTTATGATTTTATATTTATGTAGAATTTAGAAAACAAAATAAGCAAACAAAGAAAAAAAGGAAACTAAGTAATAATATTGAAGGGAAGCAGAGTTTTCCATTCTAAAATAATTCTTTTGGAATATTATTTTTAAAGCTGAATATTTTTAAGAAAAAAGACTCAGGAAAAACCTTTGACACCTTACCTACCTAAAGGAATTTAGATGGAAAACTTGCTCCAGGAAGAGAGCTATCATCTTAGATAATATGAATTAAGTGTGATTGACAGGAAGGAAGCTAGCAAGAACCTTTTGATCAAAGTCCTCACTGTGTCTCTTTGTTAAGTATAGCCCAGCAAGCATTTATTTAACAAACATCTGCTTTTTCATCTCCAAATGAATTGCCTTCCCACCCTTTAAAGTCCCAAACCATAACTCCCAACCTCCTTTCTCGTAAACTTGAGAGAGCATTTAAGCCTGATCTGTCTTTGTTCTCTCTCTCTCTCATTCTCTCTCTCTCTCTCTCTCTCTCTAAAGCAAAGTGGGATTTACCGAAGTTGCAATAACTTTCTAATAGACATTGTCCTACTATAATCATTTTGTCTTTTGAAGATCCATTCTAAACCCAACAATGAATCATTTATCAATCTTGCCTTGGGTTGCTTGAATATGGAAAATCCAGATGGTAAAATTCAGCAAGGAAAGGTGGCTACTTGGCTACTTTGTAGTGTCTTTGTTTTGTTTTTAATCCTAACCCTGGGATATATATATATATATTTGGGAGAGGAAGGGTAGGAGAGAGAGAGAGGGAGAGAAAGAGAGAGACACCCATAGGTTGTCTCCCATACATGCTATGAATAGGAATACAACCCACACTTTTTAGTGTACGGGAGGATACTCTAACCCTGACTACTTTGCTTCTCTGCCTCAGAAAACTGCTCTACATTGAAATTGACTAAATCATCATTGTGGATTATAATTAACTTCCATTTTAACTGTTAGAAGTTGACCTCCTGAAATAGGAAAGTCTGCATCTATATACAATGAAGGCTTACGTCAAAATTTTTTATATTTTATATTTATCAAATCCATGCCTCTTTCAGACACTTAACCCCTTGAGTCTTTATATCAATAATGGCAGAATACTTGAAAAGTTAAAGTTCTTTCACTTTAAGTCATAATAAACTGAACAAGACATCACCTCATTAACAGTAAGATCACCGCAGTTATCTAGGAAAACAAAACTAAATTACTTCTAAAGTGTTAAATCAGGCACTTATCAGGAAGCAATCCTCAAAATCTGCTGAAAACCAAATGTGATAAATTTTATATTCACATTTTGAGGGTGAGCTTAACTGCTTCCATTAGCATCCTAATTTTACCACTTACTAGTAGACTTGTAGGTAGACTCCTATTTTTCCAAGACTCCATTCTCTCATCTGCAATATCTGGACAGTAATAATATTGAATCATAGGATTGTTGTGAGCATTGAACAGCTAACCTGTGTAAGCATTCAGTCTATTAGGTACAAAAGGATAACAACGACCATGTAAGGTGAGTCCTATATAACTTCCCCTGTCATCCCAACCACACAGATGTATAAACTGTGCCTCAGAATAGTTACATTATTTGTTTAAAAAACCACAGATGGTAAATAATGAACTCAGGCTTAAAATATAATTGGAGACTCCTAACCTGTTTCCCCGAAAATAAGACAGTGTCTTATATTAATTTTTTGCTCCCAAAGATGAACTACTAGGTCTTATTTTCAGGGGATGTCTTATTTTTCCATGAAGAAGAATACAGTATACATTTATTGTTAAATGAAAATAAAGGAAATTTATTACCTGTATACAGTACGGTACTATGGTAGTTGTCAACACAAACCAGACAAACTGTGAATCCTACAGTATCAAGAATTTACTCATTTATTCAATGACAATCATGTCATCATCTTCTGGAACATCATCATAACAATCCAATTCCTGAATTTCCTGGTGAATTTCTTGTGACTCCATTTCTTTCAGAATAAGTGGACCAAATCTCTCATGTTTAGCCTGGGGGTGGTGCTTATTTTCGGGGGGATGCCTTATATTTCACTCAGAAGGAAACCTGTAAGTAGGTCTTATTTTCGGAGGATGTTTTATTTTTGGGGAAACACGGTAGGTTTAATTTTTCCCTTTATATCAAACTTCTTCTCTTAGATCCTTATCTTTGTCTTTATGTGTATCGGAATCACAAATATTTCTGGTTAAATCTTTCTCAGACCAAAAGTAAGAAACCCATGCAAAATGGGAGATACTAAATTAATGTAATTAAAAATGTATATTCTCTAAACTATGGATCACAAAAAACTGAAAATCATCCAAGATCTATCTCAACATTGACTATGTCACTCATCCTCTCACTAGGAAAATTATTAATTAATTTAATTAATTAATATTTTAATTAAAGGTGGCTTCTGAAAATAATTATTTTCATTTTCTATAATACCTTATATGCAATTATTAATCTAAATTGCATTTGCAGAACTAAATATACTTGAATGTGATGATAACAAGAAATGTTGCTATGTCAATTAAAACACATTTTTTTCACAGCAGGAAAAAATAAATTTGAAATGTCAAAGCACTTACTGCAGCTTGTCGATGAGTATTGGAAAGTATTCCATGAATCTTCACTTTGTCCTTTTCCATTTGGTCTATGTTCACCCACAAACCCCGGCTGGCCGAATCAGATGGACCATATATCCGAGATATATAGTAATTGTGATCTGTATCCTCCTGTAATAACAGAGAAAAATGCACATAAAGAACAGAGCATGCATGGACCTTGAGGGCAGTGGGCTAAGTGAAACAAGCCAAAGACAGATAAGTACTGTATGTTCTTATATATGCAATCTAAAAAAGCTGAACTCATAGTAACAGTGTAGGATGGTGGTTACCAGGGGCTGGGGTTTTGGAGAAATGGGAAGATGTTAGTCAAAGAGTACAAACTGCCAGTTATAAAATGAATAAGTTCTGGGAATCTCCTGTACAGCATGGTGACTATAGTTAATACTGTAGTACAAGCACAGTATTATGTACTTGAAAGTTGCTTAAGAGAGTAGATTTTAAATGTTCTCCCCACAACAAAGAACCAGTAATTATGTGATATGATGTCAGTGTCAGCTAATGTTATCATGGTAATTATTTTGTAATATATTAAAGTACCAAATCAACATATTTTATAGATAAACTTACACAATGTTACATGTCAATTATATCTCAATAAGGCTGGAGAGAAAAGAAGCATTTAATCCAATTTATATAATTTACAGAGTTATAGACAGTTTCATTAAAAAGAAAAAGAAATGATCAGTTCTCAAAAGAAATGAACAAGACACGGTCCCAAAAATTCTTAAAATGCAAACAAATAATGTACTATGAAATTAAAAATGTTAGTATTCTTCAAAACAATTAAAGGAGTTAACCTCTAATGAATGTTAATTAGATTTAAAAATTATATAATTAGTAAGCTTCTTTAGATGAAATTTATAAACAAACAATAGTCTTTCTATGATATTACAGGAATCTCTCTAATTGCTGACTAGAGGAAATGCCACTCTTGGAACTATTCAATATTTAATGAAAACTTGAACTATAATTACCACTGAGTGACAACAAATGCAAACTTCTCTTCTTTAAAGTTGGGGTTACATTAGGGCCTGCTTTAAGTCAAAGATCCTAGAAATGGATAATATTTTTTCTCTATAATTTGGGGTTACTAAATTTTACTTTTATGTAATTCTCATTATTAGTATCACCATGGTGCCTGATACAGAACCTTTATTTTTCATGACTCTCACTCAGTGCAAGGTCTTAAATGTTTTAAAAGGCAATATTGAAGATAAACCTCCAGACAATAAAATAATTCTTGACTAATTCAAATTGCAAATAATTTTTTACCACCAAATATAATTGTGCATATCAATTTGTGCAGCCACTAGATATAATATATTTTAAAACATTCAAGTATATATAGTAAGAATAATGGCTATTGAATAGAGAGTCTGTGATTTGAATAATAATGTTTGAGATGTGAATATTGGCTAATGCATTTATTAGTTGTGATAATTAAATAAAATATAATTATTCTTGAAATTTTGTCAAATATATATGACAAGCATAAAGGAAGAGGATATTCCTAATACTAGTAGATTTTGCTGCATGACTAAAATAAAAAACATTGACCCTAAATGTAAATATTGAGAACAGTGATTATATGTTAACTTTAAGATTTTTTAGAAAGTTCCCAAGTAAACCTCCAATTAAACTCTGGGATTAACACTGAATTGTGTAAATATGGATAAGAAAATTATGCAGAGAAAGGAGAAAAGGCGAAAAAAGGAGATACAAAGAAATAAGAAGGAATACAATTCCATGCAGCACAAAAGAGATTTAACAATTAGGTTTAATAGCGCTCTCTTCCAAAAGATCAAGACACTGGTTATGTGAGCTCTGGGGGGAAGAGGGGTAACAAGCATTGAGACTATGTAGCAAATGGGTCTTCCCAGTTGATTGGCGCTTCACCACTGGGAACTTCTGAGGTGGGTCCCCTCCTTGCCATTGGGCACAAGACATTCTGCACATGTCACTCCAAAGGCCACAAGGGCTGGTGGGAATCCCTAGCACATGAGCATGGTCAACTAATGAGCTTCTAGATTAGAAGCTTAAAGGAGATTCTTTCTCTCATTCTGATTGCTGAGAAATGTAGGCATGAGACTTGAACTGCTGCCCACATGTTACTGCCACGAGGAAACCCAGCCTGAAGACACAGCAAACATAGACGATAACACAACAACCAATTCAAAGAACAAGTCAGATCCCTGATCTGGTACACACGTGGGTGTGGTAACCAGGAAACCTCTTTTATTGTTAAAACAACTTTTGTTGGGTAATTGCCAACTAAAAGAATCCTGACTGACAAACAAGTTTCCCTAACTTGCAACCAAAAGAGACCCAACTTGAGCAACACACTGAATAAGACCAACTAATCTAGAGATTTATAGATCTGTATAACAAACATCTCCCATTCAATTCTGGTATTCTAGCTAATTACATAGCAGAACTGAAAATTTAAATCTATCTTGCCAGAAATCATCAGATCTGAATAACAAGTGATAATGGCTTATGTAATTTCCCAGAGAATCATGTAAAGGGGTGATTTTGAAGAAAATTGTCAGTGAGTTTAAATAAGAATTTTATTTTTTCTGATTGCTAGAATTATTATAAACAGTTCAGCAACACTAAAGTCAGAGATGTAATCTTTGGGTGAATTATGTAACAGATTCTATGATCCTGGCAAATTTCCACATAAATACCAAATATTATCCTCTTTAAAACTGCAGATTTTCACTATAGAATTCAGTATAATTATTGCAATTAACAAAATAACTGGCATTTCTCTTAACTCCTATATCTCTGTAATTAATCAATATGTAGTCTTAAAGTTAACATAAAGAATATCATTATACTTAAATAATGATTAATTGCAAAAATATACATGATGCCTAATTGCAATGGCTGATATGGATGTTATAATACACCTTTATTTTTACTCACATCTTTGAAAATATTGAAAAACTAATGATTGGCTTTGGTGTTTGACAAGCTTGTCAATTGCTATGGCAACTTTTATTCAAAGAGGAAAACTATTTTTTACCCAGGAATTTAGAGACATAAGTTATTAAATTCCAGCATGAAGCACTGGGCTCAGTTATTCAGGGGAGCTATAAAATAGCTGTCTTAAAAATGTAACATTTTAGCCAAAACTGGTTTGGCTCAGTGGATAGAGTGTCAGCCTGCAGACTGAAGGGTCCCAGGTTAGATTCTGGTCAAGGGCATGTACCTTGGTTGTGGGCACATCCCCAGCAGAGGGTGTGCAAGAGGCAGCTGATCGATGATTCTCTCTCATGAATGTCTCTAACTCTCTATCCCTCTCTCTTCCTCTCTGTAAAAAAATCAATAATATATATATATTTTTTAAATGTAACATTTTAGCACTATTAAATTATACAGACCACATTTTGTCCTGTATAGGAGGAGTAATAGCACTTGAAGAGTTGTCAAAAGCCATTTCAGGCACAAGGATTTTTCTTCTCAAACACAAGCTATTTTTAACATCATAAAAAATAAAACAAAATACTAATAAGTTATGCCTAGTTGCCAATTCATTTAGGAAACCAACTATTAATGAAAGTAGATGTAGAGGGGCTCAAGGATCAAGATGGTTTACATCTCAAAAGGACAAGTGTTGGGCAGCAGGAGCCAGTTCCCATGGAGATTATCTTTGGTAACAGATTTCTTCTGGGGAATAACTGAGTTCGTGGCTTTGTTTTTCAAAACTCTGCTTCAGCAAGATGTGAAAAAGGGAAGAGGCTACGGAAACTCATCTGGTTCCAGATATGATGATGGAAGAGGGCCCCCGGAAACCCTCCCAGAGAATGGGTCCAATTAACCATCTGCGTGGCCCCCGTCCTCCAATGGCTGGTGGATGAGGAAGGTGAATGTCTGCTCTGAGAAGCAGACACCTGGACACGCACATTCATAGCGGAAGGAAACCATCAAGCAGTGGAGGGCTGACCAGGCTGGACAAGTAAATGAATGTGTATGTCTAAACAAGAATTACTCTGTGTCCTCACAGATGAATGAACTCATGTTAGGAATTCCCTCATAGGGATCTGGCATGACTGACATGCAATTCTATAAATGCACATGTTTGTCTCATCTTTTTGTATAGTTTATTGAAAGTGTTAATATAGTTTAATAACTAAATATTTTTAGGTTACATAATTGACTGCTCATCTTTATATAATTAACCTGTTAACCGGGAAGTTCCCTTTTTAATTACGCAACGTACAACAGGCGCATACTCTTTCACTAGGACTTGTCAGTATGTCACGCCCAGTGGACGTAATTTTATATTATTATTATTTTTTTATTTATACTTAATTAAAATAAATGAAATATATATTTTTTCGTTTATTTATATATAAAGCACAAAGGAAAATACAAAATTACAAACAAATAGAAAAGAATACCAACAAAAAATGGAAACATAGAATTAAAAAATTATAAATTTTACAAACAATTATAAAGATTATAAAAAATATATACTGTTCCTCTTATGGCGCAACATATATTTCAAGGACGTATTCATATGTCCTACCCGTTCCCAATAGTGTTTACGTTTGACGTATTTTAGGTCCTGCTCGGTTAACAGGTTAAAACTCTGAATTTGAAGAAAATTAAAAGACTGTGTATTTAGTACTGCTGGTGTCCTTTTTCATCTTCTGAAAGTGTTCATTGTTAATTTGTTCTCATTTATAAATAAATCACATTGTATTTAAAAACAAAAAGAAAGTAGATGGCACAGTAGGTAGCTATGACCCTAAAAATCCATTCTTCTCCATATGTCGGGCCCAGCTGACTTAACTCAGTGATTGAGTGTCAACCTATGACCTGGACACAGTTCGATTCTTCATCAGGACAGATATCCAGGTTGTGGGCTTGATCCACAGTGTGGGGTGTGCAGGAGGCAGCTAATCATTGATATCTCTCTCTCTCATCATTGATATCTCTCTCTCTCTCTCTCTCTCTCTCTCTCTCTCTCTCTCTCTCTCTCTCTTTCTTTCTCTCTCTCTCTCTCTCTCTCTCCCCCCTCTTCTCTCTTTCTCTTTCTGTCTTGTTGATTATATGAGATTATTGCACAAGTTCTCATTATCCTCATGTTTTACACACTG